CTCTTGGGGGATCAGGAGGGAATTTTTTTCTATGCAGGAGCAAATTGGATCATACTTTGCTGTTGTTGTTTTTTTTGCCTTCTTCTGGATCAACTGTGGGGTATAGGATTATAACTTTTTTTTTGTATGGTTAAACTGGATGGACTTTTTGTTTTTTTTCCAGTCAGACTAACTATGTAACTATCTGATCTCTCATGGGGTCTAACAGTAAAAAATTCAAAATAAACTCTCAGGCTTTTTGCATGGCCTGATGCAATTTTGAAGCATGGGTTAACACTCCCATAGCTACTGCTTCATTGCCTGAGCCTTTTGGCTTCATTGCCAGTTTCTTCCTGCACTGCACTTTATGAATGGTCCACATTCCCCTGGGACCTTAGAAGTGTCCCAGAGGGCTGCAGGGGGAGGCGAACTTCTGGCTCAGTTTGCTGCCAAAGGTGCCAAATGTGGCAGTTAAAGGGGGGGGGGGGGAGGCAGAAAAGTGGAGCTTCCAGCTGTATTTATACTGACATTAAATTACACACAGGTGGACTCTATTTACTGAGTAGGTGACTTCTGAAGGCAATTGGTTCCACTAGTTAGGGGTATCAGAGTAAAGGGGACTGAATACAAATGCACGCCACACTTTTCAGATATTTGTAGAAAATTTTGAAAACCATTTATCATTTTTCTTCTACTTCACAATTATGTGTCACTTTGTGTTGGTCTATCATATAAAGTCACAATAAAATACATTTACGTTTGGTTAGAATGTGACAAAATGTGGAAAATTTCAAGGGGTATGAATACTTTTTCAAGGCACTGTACTGTAGCAACTGGTCCTGAGATACAGCTGATAAAACTGGTATCTGTACCAATGCAGCAACCTCAACCTGTGGCTCCAGTCCAGCCTGCATGGATCGTAGAAGCAGCTGATTGACCTAAAGAGCTACACAGGGTTGCCGGTACTCACTGTACACAGTCCATAGTCCGGTATCCAGCCTGTCAGCACCCACGATGTTCCAACAGCCAGCTATGCAGGTAGTAGATGATGCTAGAGCCATCTGTAACACATTCCGCTCTCCATTGATGTGTTCTATGTCCTGTCATAGGTGGAAAACTTCATAGGGGGCCCACTGAGCTTCCATGTGGAAATGGAAGGAGGGGCAAAAAAGAGCCGTGACACCACACTGATGCGTTTTGTCTCACCCACTTCTGGGATCAATGGTGAGCGGTATGTGTCATGGATGCCTCTGGGATCACCTGCTACTCATATAGCTGGCTATTGGAACATGGGTGCTAACAGGCTGGATACCGGACTATGGACTGTGTATAGTACCAGTGACCCTGTGGAGTTCTTTAGGTCAATCAGCTGCTAATATGATCTATGCAGGCTGGATTGGAGACACAGCTTCACGTTGCTGCATTGGTACCAATACCAGTTTTATCAGCTGTATCAGCCCCAGTTGCTACATTATAAACTTGGTACAGCTCCTATCAGGGACAATACTGCTAGACAGTTGTTTTATTTACATTTATATATTGGACTGCTACATTTTGCTACCTACTACCATCTTGGCATCATCTCTATCTAGCAGTGCTAGTGATCAACTGATCACACATCCTGCATGTGTTCATAGTGCCATCCACCAAGCTCATCCATCCACTTGGGACCATTGGGTCGCAGCGCTTCCAGCCATAAGCTATTTATGCACTATATGATCATCATACTCTCCTTGGTATCATCAGGTCTAGGACTGTGCTGTGTGCCCTATGGGCTGTAGTGGGCTTCATATTCATAGGTACTTTTACTCCAAGGCTTTAATTGATGCTCTCCATCCTGTTCACGTAGGGCCTTATACTAGCCTTAAGCACGATTGAGTTGTCTTCATGCGGTTTTAGGGGAGTTTTCCATCTGGGGGTCCTGAGGGCTCCACACCGTTTTTGCAAATCATCAGCCCGGCTAGAAGTTGAACGTGTATATGCTGAAGAAATTGCTAGCTGGTCTTTTAATAACTTAATTTCTGCCTCTGCCTTCTCCCTCCTTTCTGATTCAGTATAGAGAGCATGAAGAAAGTACCATCCCACTCTGGACACTGTGCTCTTCTCTGCTTTACTTAAATCAAACCCCTCAAGTCTAAAATAATATTCAAGGGAGAAGCATACTTTGCAAATTCCTTAGCAAGAAGCTCCAACTCACTGTCTCTGGCCCAGCTAGGCAGGCTGCATACCTCCTTCTGGAGAACAAAAACCTCTAGAGTCTTGTTTTTCCTAAACAGCCTACCCAGCATTCTTACTTCGCACAAGCCACAGAACACGTCATGCAAAACAGGTCTGCTTCAGTTGAACTTTGGTGCAAATCCTGGCACGAGGCCCCAGTTTTGTTTGTGTCTATTAAAGGTTCTTGCAATAAAAGCCAAGGAAGCTTAGACCTCTGTAATGTATCAATGCTTTTACTAAACAGAAAATCTGCACATACAACTGCAGAAAACACAAATGATAAACTATGCATAAAACATGCACAAGCTGACTATGTGATAGGCATACATTTAAACCGTTACTTGGATCTTTCTTTATGATGAGTAATCTTCTAGGATCTTCCAGACTGCGTCCTGCTTCTACCAAAGTCCTCTGAGTTTCTTTTTTTTTTTTTTTAAGTCTCAACAGCTGTTGCTTCTTTGTCTTCCAGAACAACTCTGTTGTTTGCCTCCTACATGGCCTGTTCAAAGTCCTCCCCCATTTCCTGTTACATCATATCCTGTAGCTGGACTTTCTCAGCTGAGCTGATAAACCAGTCAAACTGGTTCATTTGTTTGTCAATAAGGGAGGCTTAGCTTCAAACACAACACATGTAACTTAAAAATCACATATCTAAACTATAACAAATCACCACATATCAATAGCTACACACCCAGTTCCTATGTTTTTGTGCATAGAACATGGAAACAAGGCTAAGTGATTCCACTATGCACAAGACATAGAAACTGGGGTGCAGAAAAATGGCAGGGATTTGATGCAGCTAATATCCACAGAAGATCTGTGGTTAAGTCTTCAGGATACCTGGAACAACCTACCTACCACGTTCCTTCAAACACTGTGTGCAAGTGTGCCTAAAAGAATTGAAGCCATTTGGAAAGGAAAGGGTGGTCACATCAAATATTGATTTGGTTTGGATTTCTCTTCTGTTCATTTATTTTCCATTTTGTTAATTGATAAAAAAAAGACACTTCTATTTTTGAAAGCATTACTAATTTACAGTATTTTTCACATCTGCCTAAAACTTTTACACAGTACTGTATATTTATATCTGTTCTGTTAAGCTTCTTATCTACACCTATTCTTCCATAAAGCATCTTTCTGTGTAAGCATGGTAAGAATCTGGTATCAACACAATGTAACAAGTAAAGGCGCCCTTCAGTGTTAAGAGTATGTAAATCCAAGAGGGTACTGCTGGTGGTGGGGGCAGGAGGTCAGAGGACACTACTGTGTTTGTGTGGTGTGATGTGAATGGGCAGTAGAGGACACTGCTATGGGGGTGGCCCTGCCCCCCCCCCCAACGTCCTCTGTCCCCCCTTTCCCCTATAGCAGTGACCTCTGCTCCCCAGCAATGTCCTCTGTCCCCCTTTCCCCAAGGCATTCTCTGCTGCTGCTGTCATTATCAGTGCACAGCAGAAAGCGGAAGACAGCAGGGCTCAGGACAGAGGATGAGAGGAGGAGCTAGCCAAATTAACTTTTCATATTAACCTGCAGGTGATTGGTTGCTAGGACCAACCTTGCAACCAATCACCTTCGGGTTAATATGAAAAGTTCATTTGTCCAGCTCCTCCTCCTTTCCTCCGGCCAGAGCAGTGCTGTCTTCCACTCTCCGCTGTGCACTGAGAATGTCAGCAGCAGCAGTGAAGGACTGGGGGAGAGGGACCTGTTCACAGTCTACCTGTCACCTACCTGCAGTCGACAGGTAGACCGCGACTGACGGGTTGCTGACCCCCAGACTATATGCTCATGTGGTACACAGATTAGCCTGTCAATTTAAGAAGGTGCTCCTAACGACAACTTATGTGTATAAAAGACACCTGTCCACAGAATCTTTCTTCCATTCAAACCTCTCCTTCATGGGCAAGACTAAAGAGTTGTTAAAGGACATCCTACACAAGATTGTAGACTTGCACAAGGCTGGAATTGGCTACAAGACCATCAACAAGAAGCTTGCTAAGGAGGAGACAACTGTTGGAGTTATTATTCACAAATGGAAGAAATACAAAATAACCATCAATCACCCTCAGTCTGGAGCTCCATGCAAACATTTGCCTTATGGGGTAAGGATGATCACGAGAAAAGTGACGTATCAGCCCTGAACTACATGGGAAGAGCTTGTGAATGATCTCAAGGCAGTTGGGACCACAGTCACCAAACAAACCATTGGTTACACAATACGCTGCCATGGATTGAAATCCTGCAGCACCTGCGAGGTCCCCCCTCCTCAAGAAGGCACATATACAGGCCCATCTAAAGTTTGCCAATGAACATTTAAGTGATTCAGAGACTGAGAGAACGTGCTGTGATCAGATGAGGCCAAAATTGAGCTCTCTGGCATTAACTCGATTTGTTGTGTTTGGAGGAAGAAAAATGCTGACTATGACTCTAAAAACACCATCGCTGCAGTCAAGCATGGAGGTAGAAACATTATGCTTTGAGACCGCTTCTCTGCTAAAGGTACAGGCCATTTTTGCCGCATTGTAGGGCTAATGGACAGGGCCATGTATTGTAAAATCTTTGAGAACCTTCTGACCTCAGCCAGAACACTGAAGATGGGTCCTCCAGCATGATAATGACCCAAAACATACCACCAAGGCATAAAGAGTGACTCAAGAAGAAGCACATTAAAGTCACTGTAAGGGACCGCCCGGCGCTACCACTAGCACTCCACTGATCGGATGTTCCCAGCGCACGGAGTCTAAGCCCCAGACTACTTGTTCACCAGGGCCCCTGATGGTGGGGATGGACTTGGAGTACCCTGGCACCAGGTCGTGACTACTGAGGACGCCCGTCAGTGGTAGGGGTATTCGCCAGGGGCTGCCACGGGAGAGAGCCAGGTATGAGGAGGTCTGGAGACCCCGTTGAGAGGGACGGATGGATGGCTGAGCAAGTGCAAGGTCATACAAGCTGGGTCGGTAACTATGGGGATAGTGCGGTACAGAGCAGCGGGCAAAGAATAGTCGGGTCACACTCCAGGTCAGCAACAGCAGGTCAGATCCAATAGGGGGCATTCAGGAGAGAGGTCAGGCAAGCAAGGGTCAAGAACAGGAGAAACCGCAAGGTCAGGGCACAATCCGGGTCAGCAACTTACTTTGACAGGTTAACAGGTTCACAGGATTCAGAAAGACCAAAAGGCACTGAATGACAGCTCAGGGCCGTTTAAATATCCCGCCCGGCGCTGTCATTGGTGCCAGGCGCGCGCCCGTGGTCTCTACTGCGCATGCGCAAACCTGGTTGCCGCGGTCGGCCAAGTCCGGCGCCCGCGTACAGGGTGGTGTACTGCGCCTGCGCTGAGCGCAGCGATCTCCGACATTGCCGCCAGCCCCCCCCCCCCCCCCCCCCCCCCCCCTACGGGCAACCTCCAGATGCCCACCCGATCTCTCCACCACGGGTGATCACGAAGAAACTCCCGGACTAGTCTAGGTGCGTGGACATTATGAGCCGGTTCCCAGGAATTGTCCTCTGGACCATAGCCCTTCCACTTAATTAGGAATTGGGTCTGGCCCCCCTTCTTCGGCACTTAAGGATTGTTTCCACCTCAAATTCCTCTTGTCCTTCGACCGTTATGGCCTCCGGGGGTCTGGATTCTCGTTCTGGGAAGGCATCTGGGATCACTGGCTTCAGCAGGGATACATGGAAGACTGGATGAATTCTGAACGTGTCCGGAAGGATGAGCTCATATGCTACTTCGTTGACCATCTGCTTTACCTGAAAAGGCCCACAAATTTAGGTCCCAATTTTTCGAGGGACAAAGCATCTTTAAGTTGGTTGTGGCCAACCCACACCTTCTGCCCAGGCCGCAACGCCAAATCCCCTCTTCGTTTCTTGTTAAACGCCTTCTTATTGTCCTCTTGGGCCCGAGCGATGGCTTCCTGGAGTATTTTGTTATTAGCGGGGAAGAAGGTCAACGCATCCTGCGTTGCTGGAACTGGGCATTCAGAGACCAAATCAGGGAGAAAGACAGGGTGAAACCCATAATTCGAAAAGAATGGGGACTGCCCTGTTGCAGAATGGCTTGCGTTGTTATAAGCGAACTCCGCCAGGGGTAAGAGTGACAACCAATCATCCTGCAGAAAAGACGTGTAGCAACGCAAGTATTGCTCCAGGGTCTGGTTCGTCCTCTCGGTCTGACCGTTGGTCTGAGGGTGGAACGCAGAGGAGAGGGACAACTAGATGTCCAGGGCCTTGCACAGAGCCCTCCAAAACTTAGATGTAAATTGGACCCCACGATCAGAGACAATGTCCTCAGGTACTCCATGAAGTCTAACGATCTCCCGGATAAATATTCGCGCCGTCTCGGCTGCTGACGGAGTCTTCCTTAGTGGCACGAAGTGAGCCATTTTGGATAGGCGATCAATGACTACCAGAATTGCTGTGTGGTCTTGTGACGGTAGGAGCTCGACTATGAAGTCCATCGCGATCCTCTGCCAAGGCCTTTCTGGAATCGGCAAAGGTCGCAACAGCCCCCAGGCTTTGCTCCTCGATGGTTTGCTCTTCTGGCAGATGGTACAGGATCTCACGTAGCGCTTGCAATCCTTAGCCATGTTTGGCCACCAAAAAGAGCGCCGGAGAAGCTCCAGAGTCTTGACTGGGCCAAAGTGTCCTGCCAGCGGGTGATCGTGGCAATGCCCCAAAACCAGGGTCCGGACTTCCTCAGGTACCACGATTGAATCTTCCTTCCACAGGAGTCCCACCTTGTTCTGGAGGGATACCCCAACTGGGGTTGATGTGGCCGTAGATGCTTCTATTAACTTGGAGCGAAGGTCCGTCTGGAGCGCCAAGAAGTTCCCTGAAGACAAGATAGTGTCGGGTACCAGTTCTTCTTCGGAGTCCTCATACATACGAGATAGTGCGTCGGGCTTCGTATTTTTAGATCCGGGCCTGTAAGTTATATGAAAATTAAATCTGGAAAAGAACAGGGCCCATCTTGCCTGCCGTGGGCGTAGACGCTTGGCAGTCCTCAGATACTCCAGATTCTTGTGGTCTGTGAAAATCAATATGGGGTGTGAGGCACCTTCCAGCAGGTACCTCCATTCCTCTAACGCTGCTTTGATAGCCAACAGCTCTCGATCACCGATATCGTAATTCTTCTCCGCTGAGGTGAGTTTCCTCGAGAAGAATGGTACGGGATGGAGTAATTCTTTGGTGCCTTTCCACTGAGACAGGATGGATCCTACCGCATTCTCCGATGCATCTACCTCCAAGATGTAGGGCAGGGCCGCGTCCGGGTGGCCCAGGATGGGTGCCGAGGTAAATAGCTTTTTCAGAGCTTCGAAAGCTTCTTGAGCCTCCCGGTGTCCATTTGAACGGGTTTGGTTAGTTGAGTAATGGGGGAGACCAGACCCGAGAAGTTCTTGATGAACTTCCGATAAAAGTTTGCGAACCCTATAAACCGTTGGACGCCTTTTTTGTCCGTGGGTTCAGGCCAATCTAAAATTGCAGAGACCTTCTGGGGGTCCATCGCGACCCCCGCAGTGGAGATAATCAGGCCTTGAAACGTGACGCTAGATTGCTCGAAGCAACATTTCTCCGCCTTAGCATATAACCCATGCTGCCGCAACCGCCCCAATACCTTTGCCACATGCATCCTATGATCCTCCAGCGAGGGTGAAAAAATTAGTATGTCATCCAAGTAGACTATAACGAAGACATTCAAAAAATCCCTGAAGATGTCATTCACGAAATGTTGGAAGGTGGCTGGTGCATTGCACAGCCCAAATGGCATGACCAGGTATTCAAAGTGGCCAAACCGGGTACGGAAGGCCATTTTCCACTCGTCCCCCTCTCTTATGCGTACCAGGTTATAGGCCCCCCTTAAATCAAGTTTTGTGAATATAACCGCAGCCTTGAGGTCTGAAACAGTTCTGGTACCAATTGGCACACGGGTAACGATTTTTGATCGTGACCCTGTTCAGCTCCGGTTAGTCAATACAAGGTCTCAGGGTTTTGTCTTTTTTCTCCACGAAGAAGATTCCCGCTCCTGCTGGAGAAGTGGATGAATCCCTTCTGGAGGGCTTGTCCTTAATATATTCCTTTAGGGCCCCCAATTTCAAGCTCAGATAGGGGGAAAATTCGCCCAAAAAGGGAATTTCAGAGCCTGGTAACAGGTCGATTGGACAGTCATACGGGGCGGTGGGGGGCGCAGGGTATCGGGCTCCCCGCTTAATGAAACACGTCCAGGAACCCATGATAGGCTGCGGGGGAATAAACCTGTTCCAAATCGGAGTCTCCTTCGGAGCCTGCACAGGAGAACTCGGGGCCCTGCAGGGCCCGAAGTGCGACTATGTTCCCGACAGTATGGGGGAAGGGAACGAGATTGACCCGGTTTCCCAGTCAATCTGGGGGTTATGGGCCCGTAACCATGGGAGAGCCCCAGAATGACTGGGAAAAAAGAGGTGACGCAATAGCGTCCAGGCGGAGGAATTCTGGTGCTGGTTGGCAATGGTAGTGGCAATGGGGGGAGTTTCCCTGATTAACTACCCCCGATTTTATCTGGGAACCATCGGCCAAAAAGATGTTGAAGCCCTTCTGTTTGTGCTGTTGGAGAGGGATACCTGCTGGTGAGCAAACTCTAAATCCAGGAAACAGCTGCATGCCCCGAATTAACTATGGCTGTCACCTCCACAGTCCTTTCTGGAAGCTGAAAGGAGAGGGGCACTACTAAGTATTGCGAAAGGACAGGTATTGCTAATAGACAAGGAAGAAAAACGGGTGCACTTACTCATTTTGCTGAGGGGGCAGGATCGCACCATATGATTGACCAGCTTCACCGCAGTAAAGGCAGAGGTTCTGGGCTCGTCTGCGCTGGCGTTCCTCCGGTCGGTAATTTAGGCCGCGCCAGGCTAGCTGCATTAGGTTTCCGGAAACATCTCCTGGTGGCCCCCCCTGGTGGGTTCTTATGGATGCTTTTGTACGGGGTCTGATTGGCTGGGGCCCTAGGAATGGACCCCAGGCCATTTCCAGCGACCCTGGCTGGACCTCTCGAGCCTGCGTTCCCGCAGTCTTCGGTCATTTTAATGGTCCAGGGCAATAAGGTCTTCTAGAGACTCGGGAACCTCCCCCGGGCCAGCTCATCTTTCAAGGGATCGGAGAGAGCCCATACGGAACTGGTGCAATAGAGCAAACTCGTTCCAGCGTGTGTCCCCCCATCCACCGCCTGAAATCAGAGGGCGTATTCCTTGCCGCCTGCCGGATGCGTCGCATATAAGGTCGCTTCGGCCGAGGCTGCCGCTGTGGGTCATCATGACAAGATGGCCATTGCTTCAAAGATCCCCCCCTCCCGCCCCCCCCCTCTCCTCCCCCCCTGACCGCCTGATCCCAGATATGAGGAATCTCAATGTTTTCCCTTAACCGGTGGGCCCAATCCTGGGGTTCACCCCCTGTAATAGTGAGTAAATAATGAATCCTACCTTCACATTTTTCAGAGGTCAGAAAGGTACGGGGTTGTAGCTCAAAGAACAAGAGACAGGAATCACGGAATGACTGGAAGCATGTGCTCCCCCGGGTCCCCGTGAAAACGCTCCGGTAAGGGTACTCGGGGGGTTCCGCCATAGGGATTTCGCGCGGCTGGAAAAGCCCACTGAGACTGGCTCCTGAGCTACCAGGCCGGGGGTGCAGAAACGTCGTCGGGGCCTGAGTGGGGCATGGGTCAGAAATATAGCAAGTCTGAAGCAATTCTCCAAGCTGCATGCATCTGTCCTAGCAGGGCCCGTTACGGCCTGCGTCAAATTAGCTAGGTGCCTGCAAATTTCCTCTAGCGGGGAGGGCCTCTCTCTAGGCTCAGTCATGGTTCGCTTTTGGATACTGTAAGGGACTGCCCGGCAGTACCACTAGCACTCACTGATCGGATGTTCCCAGCGCACGGAGTCTAAGCCCCAGAGTACTTGTTCACCAGGGCCCCTGATGGTGGGGATGGACTTGGAGTTATCCTGAGGGACCAGGTCGTGGACTACTGAGGACACCCGTCAGTGGTAGGGGTATTCGCCAGGGGCTGCCACGGGGAGAGAGCCAG